GTCAGCAAGCATGTGGCGCTCCTAGGCGAGCTCAGCAGTCTGGTCGATGAGCGCCGCCTCTTATCGGTCAGCGAACTCGAGCAAAGTCTCGCCACGCGCGAGAGTCACGCGAGTGACCTCAAGGTACGCTAGGAGACTGACCCAGAACGTACAAGCCCTTCTCGCTGACCCCCATATGGGCGCCGATGCCAAGCTGCGCGTCGCGATCCTCTACGCGCTGCGCTACCAGACGTCGAGTAGCCACCACATCGAGGCCGTCGTGCGTCAGCTCATCGAGGTGGGCGTCCCAGAGAGCGATGTCGCGATGGTCTATGCCCTACTCAACCTCGCAGGTGCCGAGCAGCGGCAGGGCGACTTGTTTGCCAACGAGAACCTCTTATCGCGGGGCAAGAGTGCGCTCCGTGGCCTCAAAGGCGTCGACAATGTATACACGCAACACACGCCGCACCTGGTACAGACGCTCGATCAGCTGATGCGTGGCAAGCTCCGCACCGCCGCCTACCCATTTGCCGGGCCTGATACGAATGCGCTCGATGCGCCTGCCACTGTGTATCCGGGCGGTCCGCCCACACGCCCCCAAGACGTGATCGTATTTGTGATTGGCGGCACAACGTACGAAGAGGCCCGAATGGTGGCGCTGCTGAATGGGGCGGGCAGTGCCGCGTCCAACGCGCCGGCGCCAGCCTGGCCTGGTACCCGCTTCCTCTTGGGCGGCACCACCGTGCACCGCTCCCGCTCGTTCCTCGATATGGTGCAGCACGTAGCGGCACGGCAACCATCGCTGACGCGCGCGCCGCCCGCGCTCGGGAGCCGTGAGCCGCTGCTCCTGCGTCCAGGAGCCTGGAGCGATAGCCACGAGCTGGGAAAAGTGGCCAGTGATGCACGCGACATGGCGCAAGGGCTCTGGGGGCGTGTCATGCGTGGCATCGATGCACCTATGTAGATCATGCTACTACTCTTGCTCAGCAAGCTGCCACGCAGGAATAGTCGGCGCAGCACGCGCAGGAGGCGCGTCGTCCGATGCGCCAGACTCGGTGGTGGGTGCTGGCGCTGGCGCAGACAAACCACCCCGCGAAAGGAGGAGGGAGCGCAGCGACTTGAGCTCCGACTGCAGGTCCGAGAGCGCCGAGACCTGTGCCTGGCGCGCGCGATCAAACATGCCTTGAACGTCCGTCCGAAGTTCCTCTACATCATCGCGCATCTTTTCCATGTCCTTGTCGCGACGTTCTTCGCGCTCGCGCGCGTCTGCGACCATTTCGTTGACGCCCTGCACACTCTCGGCAATGGCCGCCTGCTGAGCCGCCAGGCCCTGGCTCATGGCCTCGGTCGTTTGGTCCAGCTCCTCGAGGTGCAATGCGACCTCGTCGTACTTGGCTGCGAGCGCATCGCGCTCCTCCTCGAGCGCCGTTTGGTTCGGCGGCTGTAGGTGCGGGTACAGGTAACGGCGGGCCAAGGCAACGACGCCATAGCCGACCGTGCCAGCCACCACGGTCATGATGAACCAGTCACGCCAGTCACGCTGCGGACGTACGGGCGGGTACGCCGGCATCATGGGGTAGGGCGCCCTAGGTGCGACGGCCGCGCCGCCTGCGCGCCCGGCCTGACTGAGCGCCGCATCAATCTCTTGAGGCGTCAGGCCCTTGGACTCGAGAAAGCTGATCCGCTGCGATACAGGAGAGCTCTGGACCTTGGGGTCCTCTAGAAATTGGATTGCGCTCTGGATCATATCGGCACGCAGCCCGCCACTGGGCGCTGCAGTCGCTCCCGCGTCCGACATGCGGGGTCGCTACGAGACGAGCGCCGCCGACGAACCCTTCTGTGTCACGTGATATCGGTCGGCCAAGGTCGCCGCGCCGCGGTCGTTTTCTTTCGGCCTTGCGACGAGGTACGTGGGAGAGAGCATGGTGCGCAGGCCGGCCCTATGATTACATTTATTCACACTGTCTGAGCCTGACAAGGACATGACACTGATTTCTCAAAAAACTACAACGGTATATGAGGATCCGGCCTGCTAGCCATACGCGCAAGAGCAGCTAACAGCAGCTCAGCCCTGTGTGCACGATGGCGAATGCGCCAGACCGCTTTAACCTGTTCCTCCTGCAGCCGGGGGAGCAGCGTATAGAGATCCAGGAGGATATGCGGCTTCCCAACGCCGCAACGTTTGTGTTCAATAAGGAGGACCATACCCTGGGGAATATGCTACGCCACGCTGTGCTGGCCCAGCCCGGCGTCTTGTTCTGCGGGTACAAGGTGCCTCACCCCCTGGAGCCGCGTGTGCTCGTGAAAATACAGACGGACGGCACACAGACGCCCGCGGAAGTGCTACAACAGGCGTGCACCAAGCTCATCGTTCAGATGGGTTCCCTGAAGCAGACGTGGGCGAAGGAGGTGCGTCTAGGTGCGAACGGCGCTGCGCCCTACTCGCAGGCCATGTGGTCCACATACGATGCGGGTGTGCCGCCATCAGGCCCCGAGGTCCCTATTGATGCCTATCCCACCGAGGCCGACGGCGCCGCGGGCGGCGCTATGGGCGGCTATGTAGATATATAAGCAGTCATACAAAAAGGCCCGTTTTGCCGTTGAATGATCCCGTGACTATGTCCTCTATGCACTTGCCTTCTCGGCATCGTCCAGCGCGGGCGTGGCATCCATTTTCTCGTTGCCGTGAGCCACCTTTTCTTCAAAGGTTTCTTGGCCGATCATGTTCAAATAGTCTTGGTTCTTGTCAATGCGGCGGAAGCACAGCCAGAAGACCAGACCGCCCACAAACGAGAGACCTGCAAACAAACCATAGTTAATCACCCAGTTGGGGTTCTGAGAGAGGGCCACAAACGCCTCACCAATAGCCGCTGCCACGGCCGAGGTAAACGAGCCAATGGCCATCACAATCGAGCGCATATTCTTCGGCGCCATCAGCATGGCCACTTCCATGGACGTGACGGACGCAAACAGCTCACTAAAGGCAATCAGCACGTACGAGCCCGACGACACCCACATGCTCAAGCTGGACGAATTTTTCAACTTGGTGCACTCAGAGCCATCCGGCGCGTAGAAGCCACTGTCGCCGACGTGCGTTCCGCAGGGGCTCGTCTTGTAAATGTAATGCTGTAGCACCGCTGCCCATACCATCGCAAAGCTCGCGAAAATAAAGCCGACTGTGATACGCTTGATGGGCGTAAACGGAATTTTGAAGCGATCACAGAGAGGATACAGTACAAACTGGAATAGCAGCACAAACACAATAATAAAGATGGGGTCCAACTGAGACACCAGCTCGTTCGGCGAGCCGTGCATGTCCATCTGTCCGGCCTGGATGATCAGGTTGTTCGTGATCTGGTTGTAGCACAGCCAGTACAGCGGGAACAGCAGGAAAATATTGCAGGCCTTGACACCACGGTCCAGCTGGTCGACCCAGCGGTCCTCGTACGTCATCCACTTGGGCTTCACCTCGCCACGGAACGTTGAGGGACGGGCGTACGACCAGAATTCCTCCGAGCCATACTTTTTGATAAACGTCCAAGGGTTCCAGGTAAACGTGTTCTTGATACTCAGCCAGAGCGCCCCGCACGCCTGGGTCAGCACCGAGCCATTCGGCGGCTCGGACTTGTAAAAGTTGCGGCCAAAGTACAGGACGGGGAATGGCAGGAAAAAGACCAGCGTCGGCAACAGGTAGGCTAGCCAATAGCCGACGTTTTGCTCGGCATAAATCATACCGAGCTGGCCCGCTAGCGAACCCAAATTGATCATTTCATAGTACCACATGTACGTGCGCGCCGTCGTCAGGGCAGGGTCCACAATCACCTTTTCGCCCGACTTGAGACGGATGACGGTTTGCTCCTTGATCTTGATCTGCTCGGCGACCAGCACAGGACAACTCGCCTTGAACACACCAGTACCCGTGCCCATAATAATCAGGGCAATCACAAAGCATGCTTCAGCGCCTGTTTGGTTGTCCATCACACTGGGAATGGCCGAAATGGTCAAGAGAATGTGGCCAATCTGCGCAATGACAACACCGTAGCAAATGATCTGGAAGCGGCCCAGGTACGCATCGGCAATCCATGCCGCAAAAAGAGGCGTGATATAGCACCAGAACGAGTTGAATAGGATCAGACCCTGGGAGGTAACTGAGCCGAGACCAAGGGCACCTGAGGTCGAGTCCGAGCCGTGGTTGGCACCCGTGCGCGACAAAGCGCCATCGATCATGGGACGAGGCTTGGAAATAAAGTTGGAGTATACTTGTGTGGCACCATAGTAGCTGAATCGCTCCGCAAACTCACATACACAAATGGCAAAGGCGGGCCAGTTCATCTTCTCCGAGACACGACGCAGGGTCTGGCGCTCCTCTTCAGTAGGGAAGTGCCAGTCATCCGCCTCTTCCACCGCCTTGGCGTCGGTAAAATGCTCGACACCCGCAGGAAACACATCGTGCTGCTGGCCAAGATCGCTCAAGTGCTTGTCATAGCGCAGCTGATCCGCGAGGGCTCCCGCCGCATAGACCTGGTCAAACTCGCCAATTTCTGTACTCGTTAGAGGTCCGCCTACGCACGCGACATGGAGAGAGAGGACCGCGAGGGAAACGGATGCTGTGGGGCCCTTTTTTTTTTCTATCGTACCTGGGTAGGCACGCGCTATCGCGCCATCTGTAGTCGCATGCACGTTTAGGGGTAGGGTAGATGGCGTTATCAGCGAAACTGCGGAGAAGGGGCAGGAATGTGTCCAATGAGGAAAATCCTTATTTGCGGTAGAAGTGCTACGCCATGGACCTATTGCTGCGTACAAATGCCTCTTGCCTCATAGTGGCATTGATCCGCTTACGCCTCCGTCTTCAGGGCGTGTGGTCTAGTGGTATGACGTCTGCTTCGCACCGATCTGCGACTGAACAAGGGTCAAACCTTGGATCAGCAGAAGGTCCCGGGTTCAAATCCCGTCTCGTCCACTTTTTATTTTCCATAGGTCATGCGCGTTTTGGGAGCACTCTGCACGTGCCCCCAACCAACGGGCGTGTGGTCTAGTGGTATGACGTCTGCTTCGCACCGATCTGCGACTGAACAAGGGTCAAACCTTGGATCAGCAGAAGGTCCCGGGTTCAAATCCCGTCTCGTCCACATTTTTGCACCCCGCACTCGCCGATACCTTTTGTACAAGTGGTGTTCTAAAACCGACTACGTTCGTCATAGTTTCGTGAGCCACGCGTGGGCGACCGCTCGCGCTGATGATGCCCGCCGCCCGCATTAGAGCGGCCGCGCGACTCGTCGCCGCTACCGCCGCCACGAGAGCCCCAACCATGGTCGCCGTGCTCTGAACGACCGCCGCTCGGCGGAGCGCCGCCTTGCGGCGCAGCACCTGGCATACCCCAGCCACCTTTGGCCGCTGCGCTGCCCATATAGGCGGCCATCATTTGCTGCCACATCATCTGGGGATTCCACGCCGAACTGCCCCAGCCCATCTGCTGGTACATCTTGGCCATGGCTTGAGGATCAAAGCCACCACCCCCGAGCGGATTCTTGCTCGCATCACCGCCAGCCGCAGGCGCCGGCGCACCCCACGCACGCAGCGGTGCCTGCGCATTGCTGCCTCGCGCGGGATCCGCACTGTAGCGATTTGGCGCCGCGTTGGGTTGCGGCTGACCGCGCGACTGCGCGCGTTTCACTTCGATCTGCTTGCCATCCAGCATCAACGGCTGGTGTGCCAGTGTATTTTCTACACCCTCATCGTTCTCAAAGGTCACAAAACCAAAACCACGCGGCCGGCCCGTGTCCTTGTCCATCATGACCGTACTGTCCAGGACGTGACCAAATTGCTGAAAGAGCTGTTTAAACGAGTCCTGCGTCACCGTCTGCGGCAGTCCACCCACAAAGCACTTTTGTGTGCGCGACTGCTCCGGACGTGGAATCGCGCGTTTTGGATCAATAATCTTGCCGTCCAAGTAGTGCTCCCGCACCATGACCGCATTCACTGACTTGGGGTCCGAGAATGTCACGAATGCAAAGCCACGCGAGCGACCCGACGCATTGTCGCGCATCACTGTGCACGCCGTCACAGGGCCAAACTGCCCAAAGTAGCGTCGCAGGCTCTCTTCATCCGTGTCCCAGTTCAGACCACCCACAAACATTTTTCTGTCGTGTCAGTATCTACTCGGACCGCACTTGCACGTCGGGACCAGGACTTGTATGCTAAGGGTCTGTGGCTAGTCTAACAAACGTCCTCTCTAATCCTCGGGCCCCGCGTGCCCGTACGTGCTACATGCACGCCATGTCAAGTACTCACCCTTCATCCGGCAGATCCTGCGGAGCAATATGTTCACCACGCGCCGCTGCTGCCTGACGCGCCTCTGCCGAGTCCAAGGGCGGCGGCGCCAGCTGTCCCGGAATAAAGGTCGTCGTCGGCGCCTCCGCCGCTGGCTTGCTCGCCGCCGCGGCCGCGGCCGGCACAGCAGGCGTCGCCGCCGCCACCGGGGCGGCCGGCTCCGCCTTTGGTGCCGCCGCAGGCGCACTCACGGCCGGCTCTGCCTCTTCTCCGTACAAATCGGCGTACAAATCGTCCGCCTCGTCACCCTGAGACATGGTCGTAATCAATCAAAAAGGAAAAAACAACAAAACGACCGTAAGCGGCCGCGGCCCGCGTCCCCTTTCGCCGCCCACTCGCGCGGCCGAGGCTGACTCAGCCACGTGCTGGGCTCTAGGACATTCGACCTCCGCCCTCGATCCGTGCGTCGGACCTCCACGGCGCGTCCCGGATGCTGCGTGGCAGCACGTCCACCAGCAGCGGACAGCGCAGCAGCCTAACGGATGGCGACGTGTATGTATTTACATTACAGACCGCCTACCTCGCGCACCTCGTCGAGCAGGAGGCCGCAGGGAGCAGCGGCCCACCCCCAGGCGCGGGTGGCGTGGTCAGCACGGCGCCCAGTTCCCCCGCTCTTGGCGCCGACGCGTCGCGGCGCTCCTTTGACCGCACAGGCCTAGCTGACCGCTTGCGCGATCTGCGCTTGCCCAGCTCGGCGCGCGAGGCGCGCTTTCCCGAAAAATTTGTCAAGCGTCTCACAGAGCGCATCGATAAAATTGCGGCTGGACGCGAGGTGCCCTACAGTACGACGCCCTTTTGCGCGACGGCCGAGGCTTTTCTGGCGGTACTTCGCGACGAAAGTACACAGAAACGTTTCAAGGAACACCGCAGCATCGAAGAGGTCCTGCTGCAGTTTTATGCAGTGGCACAGGCGTCCTTACAACAGCGCATGCCCAGCGAGGCAGAGCGCCGCGCCGAGCTTGATACCGAGCTCGATCAGTTTATACGCCTCGTGTCGGAGACTTTGCGCGCGCTGCCCACCGCCTCGCGCGATGTACTGGACCGTTTGGGCGAGTACGAGCAACGGTTCCTTCAGCACCGGCGGAGCAGTACGCCCTGCCGCGACGGACTCGCTGCTGCTGCTGCCGCACCGCTTGTATCGACGACGGCCGCACTGTGGGGTGTGGACGCTACTCAGCTGCGCCTGGATCTGCAATCGATCCGCACTACCTGCACCTTGCCAGCCGGCGTGATTGATTTAAAACGCTGCATCTATCGTATCCACACGCAGACCGCGTACGCCGACGACTTTCTTACGCCGGACGCATACCGCCAATGGCGCTCGAACGAGCTGGCGCAGCTGTCGCAGCTGGTCGCTGAGTTGTGCCATGCGCGCCCTGACCTACTCAGTGCGGCCAACACCAGCGACAGTTTGACGCGCCGCCGCGCCTCGCTGGAAGTGGGGCGGCCCTTGGCGGATGGTGCGCTGCCCGCCGAGCCTCTGGGCGATGGCGACGACCTGACCTACATTCCGCCAGATGCCCCCGCTGCGTACCAGCGACTCTTTGCGCTATGCCTCGAGCGCGACTTGGAAGGCATCCGCGCCAAGGCAGCAGACGAAGAAGTCTCCCTCTCGATCCTCTCGCACCCACACGTCGACCTACTGGGCACTTGTGCACACTGGTGGCGCGTCTCGGCACCGTTCTGCGCACTGGCACACCTCCGCCTATTCAAGAGCAAGTATGACCTGGGCGAGATCCCCCTCGAGTGCCTTGTCAATGCGATGGATGCACTCGAGCGCGTGCTGACTACGCACGCTCTATCACAATGGCGCCATACCGACCGGAAAATGCTCATCCGCCTCCTGGACGGCCTGCTCGACACACTACTGCGTGTCGTGCTCGCCACGGTGCAGGAGACCGAGGCGCCTCTTGCACCCGAGTGTGCCGCAGCGGCTGCGATGGCCGACCGTGCTCAGGCGATCGTCACCGAGGCGTATACGCTGACAGGCGCTGCTCCGCCGCCATCTCGCGCTGGCGCGCTGGAAGCGGCGCTCGCGGCCGCAGCCACGCAGCGGTACACGGCGCGGGCCGCCGCGCTGCTCGCCTCGCCCACGAGCCCTCTGGGCGCGCTCACCGAGCTGGGTGCCTGGCTCGAGCGTCTTTTGCGGACCCTTGATACGCTCTGCCCCATGGCCGTGCTGGGTCGTCCCCCCGCCCAAGCGGTGGCTGCGCGGCTCGTGCCTGTGTACCTGCACGATGTGGGCTCTGTGCGCGAGGCCGTATGGGAGCAAGTGCAAACCCGGCGTGACCTTGCTATGCTGAATTCGGCGTGGGAGCTTTTGGCGCAGATCCGCGCGCTGCTGGCGTGGCCTGCCGTGTCTGTGCCATCGACCTTTGATCTAAAGGCGTGGTTCCGCCCCTATGTCCCCCTGTGGCTTTCCCTGAGTGAGGAACGTACAGCTGCGTGGGTGCAGCGTGCGGTGCGCAACGACACGTTTGTGCCCGTGGACGGGGCAGACACGCAGCACAGTACGTCGGTGGACGATTTGTTTGATGCACTAGCGCAGCAGGTACGAGCGCTACAGGCACTTGAGTGGCCGGACGCGTATGATCTAGCGACCTTTTTCTCGCAGCTTGCACGTTCCATGCGTCGGCTCGTCGAGTTGTACTGCGAGGAGCTCGAGGCGCTGTACATGGCGGAAATGACACCGCCGCCGCCGCCGCTCCCATCGCCCGCGTTGGCGTTTGCGAACGAGGCACTAGCCTCGCTCCCACCCAAGCAGGCAGCCTGGGTGGCCAAGGCCAAGCTGACCATCCAGCGGGAGAAGCGCGTGACGCCATTTTTGTTGCAGCCCTACTCGTGCGTCAAGCTGAACAATATGGAGCGTGCGCGGCGCCAACTGGACGAGCTGTACCGCGCGATGAATGCCGACGAGCAAGCCGCTAAGGTCCAGGCCCACACGCCCGCTTCACCGGCGGCCGAGGCACCGCGCATCTTTTCTGTCAAGGTGGTCCAAGCCGAGCTGCGTGCGTCTACGGCCAGCGATCGAGCGATGCGCCTCGACACGTTTGTGACGCTCAGCGATGCACAGGGCACACGCCTAGCACAAACACGCACATTGTTGGATACAATGACGCCGCGCTGGGACGAGGCGGTGGATGTGCCTGTGAGTGCGCCGCGGTGGCTCTCTGCCAGTGTGTGGCAGCGGCCTGCCAACGAGGCGCCCGTGCTGTATGGCCGGGCGGCGCTGTGCCTAGACGCTCGCGACTTTGCCGAGCATGCGACGCAGGACGTGTGGCTCGAATTGGACCGGGCAGGTGGTCGCCTCTTGCTGCGTATGAACATGAGCGATGGCCAAGAGGGTATTTTGTACGACTTTGGGCATGCATTCCGCGTAGTCAAGCGCAGCGAGGTCGACATGGTGCGGGTGCTCGTGGATCACATGTCGCTGTTCATGCGGCAATTCCTTTCGCGCAGTGTGCTACGCTCGCTCGTGCGCGGTGCGCGCGTCGAGCGGGTCGTGGGCAATGTGCGGGCCTTGTACACGTCGGCGCTCGCGCAAGCCTCGGGCAGCGCTCCGTCCATCCCTCGGGTAGAGTCGGGCGGTCGACGCAGCACAGCGCTGAGCGATCCCGAGATGGAAGCGGCGATTGTTCCACTACTCGACTACTTTGAAGACACGCTCGGTACGCTGCAGAGCAGCCTATGTGAGCCCGAATCGCAGTTTGTGCTCACGCGCGTATGGAAAGAAGTGCTCGTCACGCTCGAAGGTCTCCTAGTGCCGCCCCTCTCTGATGCGCCCAGCGATATGCCACCG